CAAGATCTGAGTACTTATACTTTTACTCAAGTACAAGATCTGAATACTTGTACTTTTACTCAAGTACAATATCTGTGTACTTCTCCCACCTCTGGTTTGAATCATTGGTTAGTTATCGCTGTTGAAAAAATTGAGCCGAGTTTATTTAACCTTTCTCTAATTGTAGTCTTGCAAAATTGACAGATGATTTTGAAATTAGTGAACAATTATTAATATTAACTTGTTTTAAAACGACCAAATACATAAAGTAAAAGTAACGTGTATGACCAGATATTAAAGGATCAGTTTACCCAAATAAAACATGTTATTGACATGTGTTGACCTTCCTACACAGATAGCATATATTTAATAATACTAGTCCAGGACAGATTAAAAACCAGAAAAAAGTGTATTTCTTAATTATGTCGTTTTATTTGGTCTTAAACCAAGTATTCTTTAACAATTATAGTGCTAGAGGTGGACATGAATAATTAGAACCACATAGTATGACAATATGTTTGAAAAAATCTGATATTTCCCCCAAAACTCACAGTGGTATTGAAGGAAACAAAACTCCACTCCCAAACTCAGCAGGGTTCATCCTCTGGGGAACAACATCTAATATCAGCCAAAACACATCAGTGTGTTTGTGATCCTCTGGGAACATTTCCTCTGTTCAGAAGTGAAAGTTAAACTCATTCTCATACATTTGGGCCCTCGGGAGTCCGCCTACTTTCAGACTGACCCACAGACATTATCAATCAGTATGTAGTGTCTATACTTCAAAGAGTCCTCTCCTGCTGATGTTCAGGTGTATATCAGTATGTAGTGTCTCTACTTTAAAGAGTCCTCTCCTGCTGATGTTCAGGTGTATATCAGTATGTAGTGTCTCTACTTTAAAGAGTCCTCTCCTGCTGATGTTCAGGTGTATATCAGTATGTAGTGTCTCTACTTTAAAGAGTCCTCTCCTGCTGATGTTCAGGTGTATATCAGTATGTAGTGTCTCTACTTTAAAGAGTCCTCTCCAGCTGATGTTCAGGTGTATATCAGATTCACTTGGAACACAAACACACAAATTCCATGTATTGTATGTAATTATTAACAAAAATACTAAGTCTGACATCTTCATTGACATTTTACAATCTTTCAGGGAACATCCTCCAATAAGCTCACTAAACAAATATCAGTTCACAGAAATGTTATTTAATTTTTAGTGGCATGTGGCATGTTTGTGTTGAACAGGTTATTTAACAGTGGAATAAAACTTTTTTAAACTATTGGAAAGCACGGAAAATGTGTGTGCATTAAGATTAACCATTAAGATGGCATAAACATGAAGTCATGAACACTAACCCAGACATTAGTTGTCTAACTTGAACCTAAGACACTTCACAGCCTGTCTCTGCTGACTCATAATAAGGGGAATGTCAACACAGGCAACTGTCAACTGTCTGCTGTTCCTCAGCGCCGCTCCCCCTCCCTCTCGCTGAAATTATGAATGAAAGGCGTATAGTAATCACAGCAGCAACGTGCAATCAGGGGAGGCAGGGGAGGCAGAGGCCCAATTCCAAACCACACCCTACCCACTCCCACTCCGTGACTGAGTGAACTGCGTGAAGGAGTGCCACTCGCAGCTCAACGAGGCTCCCTCCTGTCAGGTGGAGGGAGTAAATACAGCGGCAAGCTTTGGGACAAACTCCCCTCTCTCCGGCAGAAACAGGAAATGCCGTAACTGTATGTAACAACGGTTTCAAATCAGCTTCTCTTAGACAGAAAATACAAATTAAAAACTAAAATAAAACTCCAAACATCTTTAGATATGTTAATTTTTTGTAAAGCTCTTTTAGTTTTAAACCTGATGTTTATAAGCTTCTTGGTTTTTGCAACAGACTGTAGATATACACAACTTTATAATAAAATGCACAAATGTACCTTTTTCTAGACTAAACACAGGTATGATCCTAAGTTAAACAAATATGTAAGAAGTAGAAAGTACAGGTATTTGTGTTCAAAATGTAAGAAGTCAAAGTAAAAAGTCGTAGTGGAGTAAAGTACTGATACCAGAAACATGTATTTAAGTACAGTAACGAAGTATTTGTATTGTATTTGTACTACTTCCCACCTGTGCTGTGTTTACATGTAGCCGCTGTTAGCAGTTAGCAGTTAGCAGGAAATGTGTTTTCCTGCGCTGGTGTTTGCACTCGTATCTGAGAGAGGGTTCACTGTGGGATCTAAACACTCCTATCAGAGGGAAAGTGAGAGTTTTAACACTTGTGTTTTTGCAGCTTGGCATGCTACGCAGAACAAGTTTGTGTTTTTACAAAATGTCTCCATGGACGGTAATGTTGGTCAGCGTCGCTCCCTCCAACACTTCGCTCAACGCTCAAATATCTCAATACATATTGGATGGTTTGGTGTGAAAGTTTGTTCAGAAGTTCATTTTCCCAAAAGGATGACGTCTACTGACTTTGGATAACCTCAGACTTTTGGTCCTGCATCATCTGCACGTTCACATCTGTGTCTCAATGTTTGCATGGATTTCCATTAAATGTTGAGGACGCTTCCTTGGTAGGACATGTTCATATTTGTATTTCTTCCTCTGGAGCAGGGGTCGGCAACCTTTCTGATATGAAGTGCCATTCTAAAAAAAATGTTTTATCAGCGTGCCGACGATCGTGAATTATCAAGGGGGGGGGGGGGGGGGGTTTGAAGAGCTCGACGAAAACACTCGTGAAAAGTGATGTTTAAAACTCAGTTAATGGGGCTCATTCACTGGCGCTTCCACAAACAACAACCAACATAATTGTTACATTCAAATGAAGTAGCCTACATTATTCAAGTTTACATTAACTTTGGATAATAACACGGGAGAAATGAGCGGAAGCGCTCTCTTTTCCTCTCTCCCCCTCTCTCTCTCCTGACAGCCCGTCAGTATCTCATGCAGCTCACTGATCCAGTAATGAGTGACAGTGAAGAATAAATATATGTATAACTAGTTCCAAAGGTAGATAAAATAGCTAAGTGTGTTAGGTCTAACTCTTGTGTGTTTTGCTCCGCTCACCGGTCCGTCACAGCGGGTGGAGCTGCAGGATTTCTGCTTCACACACGTTGCAAACCGCTATTTTATTGTCATTTTCGGACACCTTAAAATACTGCCAGACTGGTGAAGCCATTTTTTTGCGAGCTTGTTTTGCCGCACACAGAGAAAAGTGTCATGAATGTTACGCCTCGCGATCGGCCTTTTTAGAGAGCACCGATCGATCGGCAGAGAGTGAGTATCGGCCGATATCGATCGCCACGCAAAAACTGGGGCATTTTTACAGCTCCTTATGGGTAATGCAATTTGTGAAGTGCTTTCCTCTGTGGTGAAACTATCAGCCCTGCACCACGGAGGAAAGCGGAAGAAAGTCGCCTGGAGTTAAAGAGAGTGGGACTGCGCTGCGTGCATGGCTTCCTTCTGCAGGTAACGGGGAGACGCGCTCTGACGGCGGTCTCGTTCAGGATCCGAAAATAAAATAAATATTTTGTACACTTATTCCACTTATTCCTAGTGTGCCACTGGTTACGGTGCCGCGTGCCATTGGTGGCATGCGTGCCAGGGGTTGCCGACCCCTGCTCTGGAGGGTACACAGGGATTTTAGCCTTTGCAGACCATTTACATGCACGGAAACCTACTGAACACACCACAGTCTCCGTCTTAACTGATCATTAATACTTAGATATTTCACATCAACATGAAATTGGTGGGGAGCAGAGGTTACGCAATCCAGCATTGCCCGTCGGCCTTTACACAACTCTGACGATGGGGGGGGGGAGAGAGAGAGAGAGAGCACGCTTGTGAACTGTCAACGGGGGGCGGCACGCTCGTGAACAGTTTGCGCCGTGTTATGCATGCCCACTGCACCTCGCGGGAGAGCGCACAGCGTAAAGCCAAAACTCACAGACATTTCAATGATCTGTTCGGCAAAGTTAGGTTTGGAAACGATATCATTTGCTTTGGGCGGGCATGCATAACACGGCATAACACCGGAGCCTCGCTGCGGGGAAGCTTTGGCGCTGTTCCGAGTTTGTTCTAATCTGTCAAAATGACGGACTGCTTTGAGATTTTTCCGTCATTGTTAAAAAAATCCGTCATAGACGGAAAATATTCGGTTAACGCGACCTCTGGTGGGGAGTGAGAGTGGTGTAAAAATGGCTGGGAAACACTGGCTTGTTTTAATCTTTAAATCATACCAACATGTTGTATATCTACAGTCTTACGTTCTGTTTTTGAGTATAGACAACTGTTGCTATGAAGAGTTTTCTCCTCTCATGTTGGCTGTAGTCTTTGTGATTTGTTCAAGTGTCACTTTATAGCCAAGAAGCAGGACATGAGCTCCCTCAAAACGAGTTCTTTATTACAGTTTAAAGACCCCAAACTGATAACTCGCGCTGACTCGTTCTCTGAGAGAAAGGCGACCTGCAGGGTGTGGAGAGCAGGTCATATTTAACGATCTGAGGCCATAGCACTCGGTAAAAGACGGTATCCATCCCACCTGCTCCCCTCACACATGTGGGTTAAATATTCCTCTAGAGTTCAAGCTGTCCATCAGTGCGGGACCTTTGAAGTGGTGCCGCGGTGTCCTTTGTTTTTATGCCTCCATCCCTTTGATTGTCTCAGGGATTTATCGTGCTCCTGCTCCATTACTATGCAGATTTATGGGAGGGCTTTAAGTCTTGCAACAGTCTGATTAAAGCGACTCCGAGGTTAATGTGCACAGAGTAAATATTTTATAACGAGTGTTGAAGTGTAAAGCTGCTTCTGTCCTCACAGCTGGATCTGCACCCGGGTCACGACCCATCCAGAGATCTCAGAGACTTAGAGGAGGAACATGAAACACGTGTCAGTAATCAAGAGGTCAAGATTTCAGTCCTGTTTCCATGTGTTTGTGTTTTTAGAAGAAGGGTTCCTCAGATTTGAGCTCAGTAGAGTATAGAGTGGTGCAGGAAGCAAAGACACCACAAACATATTTGATGAGCAACATGATGCTTTATGTCATAATCACAACCCAGAACAATACCCCACAAGACTCAAAAACAATCTAACAAACACAAAGTCGGCTTATAAAGGTATCTACTTGCACTTTTAACAGACAGAAAACTACATGATCATCTTAATAAAGTCGTGTTGTGTTCGCCTGATGAATGTAATTAGCTCTGTTTTTGGTCTCCACCCATTGAGCTGCTAAATGCTCGGCTATGTTCACCTGTAAGTCTCTGTGTCTGAAAAGTTATCTTTTACATCTGTTTGTATGAAAACAGCTCGTTTAAGCTGCTGGAAATGAGGTTAAACCAAAACGTATCGTACAACCATAACAAGAGCTAAAGGAGGCTAAAAGGCTTAGTGTTGTTAGTACTACGAGACTGTTTGGCATTACTCATTTAAATGTAATGTTAACATACACAAATATATAACTATAGGATCATTTCATGTTCACTGCATTATCAAAGTTAAACATCGCTAATATGTACAGAATGTTATCAGACGACTGTAACCAATGCATTTTCTTTTAAAACAAGTTGTTTGTTTACACAGTTTACATTTGGAAACTAACATCTTCAGACCTTTCTCTACACGCTGAAGATGGTGATGATGAGGAGGACGAGCAGAGCTGGATATGAGCTGCTCATCAGGAGGTTATGGCTGCCGCTGGACAAAATGTTGCCATCATCATTTTCCTGAGGTCTGCATTGATCACAGTCCTCTCCGCAGAAGGAGCAGGTCGACATGTTTCCTCTCCACTCGGACCGATAAGTCCTCACCGTCCTTTGTCCTGAGAGAGAGGGGTCAGAGGTCAGAGGTTAAATATGAGCCCAAGTCATGTTATTGGGGCAGCATGTTATGTTGTTAAAGGGGCCATATTCTGCTGATGTTCAGGTGTATATCAGTATGTAGTGTCTCTACTTTAAAGAGTCCTCTCCTGCTGATGTTCAGGTGTATATCAGTATGTAGTGTCTCTACTTTAAAGAGTCCTCTCCTGCTGATGTTCAGGTGTATATCAGTATGTCGTGTCTCTACTTTAAAGAGTCCTCTCCTGCTGATGTTCAGATGTATATCAGTATGTCGTGTCTCTACTTTAAAGAGTCCTCTCCTGCTGATGTTCAGGTGTATATCAGTATGTGTGTCTTTACTTTAAAGAGTCCTCTCCTGCTGATGTTCAGGTGTATATCAGTATGTAGTGTCTCTACTTTAAAGAGTCCTCTCCTGCAGATGTTCAGGTGTATATCAGTATGTAGTGTCTCTACTTTAAAGAGTCCTCTCCTGCTGATGTTCAGGTGTATATCAGTATGTAGTGTCAGTATTGTGAATGCTCTTACTTGGTTCGTAATAACTATAGATGACCACGCTTGCTTCCTGGACCTTTCCCACTTTATACTCCAGGACCAGAGGGATGGTGAAACACTCCTCTTCTGCCGTCATCTGGAAACACATTTATATATTGAATCTCTCAGTCATCACGAGTGCAGTGTGTTTGTGCTGCAGTGTGTCACAGAAAACACTCACAGAGTCCAGGTACAGGATGACTTTCCCCGGCTGCGTCTCCACATTCTTTATTAAGTCATTGGTCTGCAGGCCGTTCTGCTTGAGGGCGAAACCGCTCAGCAAACCCACCTCCAGGAGCACCATCCCAGTGGAGTTAACACCCAGAGACTCCGACAGGCTGCAGACATACAATTCAAAACCTGGTTAGTGAGGAATCAGCTCTGACACAATTGTGCACTCTAAAACCCACTGTCTGTCTGCAATGTGTTAGGGTTGAGCAGCGCAGGGTGGACCCAAGTGCAGACCGACGAAGGTTTGAACTGAAAATAACCTTTATTCAAGGCAACTGAATGAATGCAAAACAGTACTCTCTTTACCTCTAATCGCAAAAAGAACCCAGAAAACCAGAACTTAAATACACACATGACCAATCAAGGATTTTACTTTTTTTTCCAAGGATTTTACTTTTTTTATCAGAATTAGATTGTCTTTTTATAAGAATTTGAAAACATTTTGGGATTTGACTTTTTGAGAATAATACAGTGTTCAGGTACACATAGTGAAGAAATGATTAAAACATAATTCTTTTTTTGATTTTTGTTTCAAAATGTCAACTTTTTTCAGAACTTCACTTTTTTCTAAGAATACGATTTTTTTAAGTGTGAATTTTTTCTAAGAATTCATTTTTTTCTTTTTTTTTTTAAACTTTTTTATAACAATTTGAAAAAATGTAGGGATTTTGACTTTTCTGTCAGAATTTGACTTTTTGAGAATTGATTTTTTTCTTAGAATTTGATTATTTTCTAAGAATGTGTGTGTTGGTTCCTGATAAGCATGAGAAACTGATAAATGTTTGTCTTTTGTTATATTTCATAAAGTAATAAAGAAAGTCAATACACAAGTGAAATGGATCTGAAATGCAGGAACAGAGCAGCTTCATCCTCAGAGGATAAAGAAGTTCTGCTCACAGTCTCTCTATATATTCATGAGAGGAAACAGCTGCTCCTACATCCCATCATTAAACCATTACACCCCCCTTTAACCATTTAAAACCCCACCTTTTACTTCCTTTGCCTTCCTGAAATGTAAACCCTTAACATGTGTCTCTGTTAA